AGTCACAAGTTAAATATTTATGTTGTTAACTAAATATTTAATTTGTAAGTTAAATCTTTAGTTTATAAACTATGACATTTATAAATGTATGAATCATATAGTGAAAAACTGACTTTGAAGAATAAATCTGTTCTTTTTTTTCTTATAAAAGGCTAAATAAAACAAAATTATTGGTAGTAATTTTTGACTGTGTGACTTTACAAACGGCACCCCATAGAAGTCTCCTTTAAACTATTACACAGAATTTATCCCACTAATCAGTTCATGAGGAACTATATTAAAACAATAAACCCAAACCGTAAAGATTGCAAACAGCATCCAGAAACAATCTGTCATTTATTCTGGAATTGTCGCATCACAATGACATTTTGGAAGCAAAGTTATAATTTTATCATTTGTAATATTGACATGAAATTTTCATTAAAGGGGCAATATTATGAGTTTCTCAGGCATACATTTAAATACCATACCATAATAAAGTATCTATGTCACCTTTAGTTGTTATGAAAATGCTGTTTTTATGTTTAAATTGAAAATAAACTTATCTTCTCATCACTTCCTCTTCTAAATGCCTTTAAATTGGCCTCTGTCTCTTTAAGAACCACCTTCCGCTTCTGTCCCGCCCATTTCAGTGTGTGTGTGTGTGTGTGGTCTCAGTTTGGTTTCTGAACATCTCAGACTGCTACGTTTATCTTTTAGCTAACATTCGGCTTCTTTTTGACTCCAGCTAACACAGTTTCTTCATCTCTCTCTGCTTCTTGCAGAAGACAGGAGTCACTTCCTGTTTCTCAGCCTGTGTGCACCTCCTACATGTTCTCCTGCAGGAGGAACCCGAGCCTCGACCGGCTCTGGTCGATCCGCCGTCACACACGTCTCATCATATCTGCGTGTGAAATCATCCTCTGCTGTCTCTGGGCTCTGATTGGCTGAGCCTCTTCCTCCGGCTCTGTTATGTAACAACAAGTGCATTGTGGGACGTAAAGAGGTGACCGCGGTCGATGAGGGGAAGGAGAAAAAAAATACAACTGTTTAATCCCCATCACCATGGTGACCAAGCAGCTCAAACACACACTTATTGATCGAGCTCCGCCTCCAGGCTGTGACGTCACACTGAAGGAATCTGATTGGCTCTGCGGAAAGGCGAGGATTGCATAAGAGGCGTCCGAAACATCAATCAGGAGGAAGAGGAGGAGGAGGAGGAATAAAAGAATACAAATTAAAGAGCTAGCATCTTTCATGTCAGAGTTTTAAGATTAGATTTAGTTTTGAGGAAGTGTTGTGTGTAACTCAGATACCACAACTAATACTAGCTTCATTTATTTTTACTTTATTTATTTAGAGCAGGCGTCTTGGACTGGGTTTACTCTAAAAGTGAATCCATTGTAAACCAGCATCCAGAGATTATTTCAGGAAAGTTTCATTCTAATCTAAGCAGTGGTTCATGAGATATTTTGCTAACACGGCAAACACATTAAGAAGGCCTGAAGGCCGAGGGAAGGAGAAGGAGAGGAAGGATGGAGGGTCTGAATGAGATAAAGTGAGGGAGGGGGAGACTGGAACAAAGGAAAGAAAAGGGGGGTGAGGGCAGAAGAATCTGGGGCACTGAGGACCACGTGTCCGTCTCCTTGGTAACCGTCTCCCTGCTCGTCAGACGGGATGAAGGCTGTGCTGACGGAGCATGTGCAGCGGCTGCTAATGTCCCGCTCAGATACTCAGTTCGAGGGTAAAAGCCCGAGCTGCTTCTCCTCCAACACATGTGTGGTTCTCATGTTCTCGCCCGTGTGAAACACAAACGTAAAGTTTCAACCTGAAAATACTGAAGGAGATGTGGGACAAGTGTCCAGTCATCAGCTGTCCTCAGGGTGTGTTCAGTCAGTCTGCTCAGCTCTGCCGCCCCCTGGTGGACAGAACGGCACAGTCTGTTCGCAAAGATGTGTGGACATTTCATCAGAAAAATTTGATAAATAACAAAATGAAAGATGTCTATGGGGTGCCGTTTGTAAAGTTACACAGTCAAAAATTACCACCAATGTTTTTGTTTAATTTAGCATTTTCTAAGATAAAAAAAAGAACAGATTTATTCTTCAAAGTCAGTTTTTCACTATATGATTCATACATTTATAAATGTCATAGTTTATGAACTAAATATTTAACTTACAAATTAAATATTTAGTTAACAAGCTAAATATTTAACTTCCTGACTTAAATATTTAGTTTTGAGCTAAATATTTAGATTGAAACTTAAATATTTAGGTTGCAACTTAAATATTTAGCTAGCTACCTAAATATTTAAGTTAAATACTTAGGTTGCAACCTAAATATTTAA